GGAGCCCACCGCTCCGAGTGCAGCCGAGAACAAGGGCGGCTCCCTGCACTCGGTTCTGGTGCACTCCTAGGGTACCCAGCGGGTTGGGGGAGATGAACGCTTGGAGAGACGCCTGGCCCGGGACGTCCGGAGAGGGCAAGGGCACCCAGACCAGGTCGGGCAGAGGTGGCGAGCCCCGGCCTTTGCGGGAAAGGAAGGTATTTAAACAGACAAACCCGAAAGTGGATTCTCCAGTGGTCTGAATAAATATAACACTTCTAATGTCTGTGTTTATACTATGTTGTACAATCAGATTAATGAAAGCCAGTTTTCAGGTAAGAGTTTCTATTGTAATTAATATTATAAATCAGTAAGTTATGGGGGGGGATGAAAGAGTTTGAGGAAGTCTCATTCGCCTGCAAATTGGAAATAGGTTTCGATTCTGATTCCCGGGAGCAGAAGCTGGCAGAGAGAGCTAAACCTCCCTGGGAGAAATCCAACAGAGAGTGACGCTGAAGCAGACCTCAGCCATCAAGTTTCTCTCTGCTAGTCTCATCCCCAGAGAGCCACCTCTCGTGAACATCCTAGACAAAACTGCTGTTCCCTAAGGAAATCTCGTTTTAGGAAAAGAGGGAGTATTTGATACCATCATTCTTCCTGGTCAGTGAAATGGGCAAGGACACGGTCATCATGAGTAAGGGGGGCAGTGGGAACCTCAGGAGGGAACTTGGAAACAGTTAAGTTTCTTGGCTCTGATCCGGGGGTCGTGAAGGAAAGGAGAAACAGCTAAAGCAATTAGTTTGCACAAAAGAGAATGGCAGCAGCTTAAAGAGCAAAGCCCCAGATTCCAAAAGTTAAGTTCAGAAAACATAACCAAAGAGAGACATTAAAGGCAACTTTCTATCTGCAATTCGTTTGTGAATCAATGCGATGAGACCGTGTAGGAATCTCAAAATAATGTGAATTCCCCTGATCCATTCCATTGGGGATTTTTTTTTTAAATCCCTTGCATCACGGGATTTTGTTCCCCTAATTCATGAACCCAAGAAAAAGCTACCATGTCACCCCCACAATATTGCTCTTAACGTTTCCAGGAGCGTTTCGTGGCCATTGCCTTCCAGCCTCCTCCGGACAGATGCGTGAGGATGACCGGTCGCCTTTGCACGCTGCCGTCGATGTTGTGTTCCGTATGCTGTCTGGGCGCGTTCGCCCTTCAGACGAATTCTTCAGTTTCAGTTCGTGACTGGAAAAGAAACTTGCCATGCCGCTGTTGCTCCTTCTCCCTTTTTGAGCCCCAGGAATAGCACCTTACTCGCAACAAACTTTTGGGAACGAAGCGGGGCGGATAGGGAGGAGGCAACTGCCCTTTGCCCCTGAGTCACCTCTGGCTTGTGTCCGCGCCGCGTTCGAGTTGTGACTTTGTGCCAAGTTCATGTCTGCCTGTGTTGTACGCGGTGTTCTCCATTAAAGCTTCTCTCTGGCTGTGCCGGTGTGAAGGTGTGTTGCTTCTCAAGAGACGAGGCCGCGGCTTGAATTGCCACTGGGCGGGCTGGGGACTTCGCAAGTCCACCTCCCCACCTTTCTTTCTTTAACTTCTGAGCATCAGAGAGGGTGAGTCCACAGGCGAGGCAGCAGCAGGACCAGTTTCCTCCATTATTCCTTTTACCAGTTGGCGCAGTTATCTATTCTACCCATTCTTCCGCTGCTTTCCTAACAGAGCTCTAGTCCACCTCGATGCTAGAGGCTGGGTTAGCAAAAACCCTTCACAGTGAATTTTTTTCTATTCCTGCATGAGGTTTATAATAATACATAATCAGCATCACCAAGCACTTTTTCCCTTTTCGGAAGGCCTCGAGGGCGGGTTACGGCCAGGCATCCGGTGCCATTGGGTGGATGCCCAGCGGCCCCCCAATAAGTCTGCGGGTCGATGTGGGGCGGGGAGGATGGTGCTGGGCCGCCGCCACTGGCATTGTGGCCCACAGTCCCGGGAAGCGCGCACTCCGTCGCCCGCGGCCAGGGGACCTGTTGCATGTCCTCCGCAGTCTGGGGCCTGGAGCCGGAGAGCGCTGGGCAGGTGAGAGTCGGAGGCCCAGCAGTCCGCTCTCCCTGGGAGCGGGGTAGGGGGACCTGCAGGCTGTAGCCACTGCGGAGCTGCGCGGAGAGGTGGCGGGGGACCTCGAACAGCGCTCCATCTTGAACCAGCCTCCCTGTGCCCAGCCAGGCCCAGTGGAAGCCTCCTCCCTTCACCTCTCATCAGAAGAAAATAAAGGGCCAACGAGATGACCTGCGCACAGTAATGACACAGAGGGGATTTCTGTTACTTCTTAAAAATAAGAATTTCCTCGCATCCCTTATTTACAAGTCCCATTGCAGCAGGCAGCCAAGTTTTAGCGTCGCCTGGGAGACAAATCTCAGTTTAGGTCACTGCCTCCTTGGAGACCCAGGCAACTCTAATGTATCCCATCTTTCAGCTTAGGACTCTGCCAGCTTTCCTGCGGGACTCTCCTCTACACTAGTCTGAGGCTGTTGAGAGAAAAGGGGAGATGCTGGCATGGAGATCACAGATTTGGGGAGACTTGGGGGTCTAGCTTCTTTGTTCACCTCAGGGTGAGTTGGGCCCCAGAAGTCCCAGGCTAAGACCCCTAGTTTAGGGTGGGCAAGACATTGGGCCAAGGAAAGACAGTTGCTGGATTCCAGAAGTTTCTTCAAAAGAACATCTCTTCCTTCTCCACCTGCCCCAAGGGGCCAGTGCACTTTTTAGTGATGCCCATTGTCCCACCTCTGGGAGAGGAGCACTGTCCAAAATGACATCTGGCACCTGTCGGGTGGAGGGCTGGCTTAAGTGACAGCCCCTCCTGAGAAGGGAGGAAGCTGGGGGCCACCTTAGCAGATAAGGATGAGTAACTGATCCTCTGAATTTCCTCCCTGCTGGAGCCTTTTAGCAACCCAGCCTCACACCCCCAACTCCCGTGGAACCCCTCCTACCTCTGCGGGGAAAGCTCGGTGGTTGTGTTTTATTTTTCACTCTAAAGAGAGAGAGAAAGAAGGGAAGGCAAAGTGAGCTCAGATGATTCTACTCAAGTTTCATCCAGGAGGAGACCCTGGGACCCAAAGGAAGCTGTGCATGGCACTGATGTTGGAGAACAAGGGAATTCATGTAAATTAACAAAGGGGAAGGAACTTCCTGCCAAGCTGATCCTAAAGGAGGCTCTGATTAAAATCCCCGACATTGGACACTGACCGGGCCCTGAAGACCCCTCTTACCTAAGGTGGGACCTGCAGTCTAACTGTAACTCTCAAATGAGTCCTGATCTCATACAATCCCACAGGTATTGCCTCTCTAGTTACATGTCTCTCAAGTTACTCTCTAGTTACATAGAAAGAAAGTAAGTTCTGGACATAAGAGATGGAAATAGAGGCACTTATAAATTCATGACTGTCTCAGTCCACAAGATTAATAAAATCACTCTCAGTTAGTAAGTCCTGGTGGAGGTAACATGAAATTATGCTCCTGGTTCCCAGGATGATAGAAGACAGCCTGCTTAACTTAAGTGAATGCACAGAACCTCAAGAAACATGGAGAGAAGCAAAGAGGAAGGAGAAAGGTTCTTAACGCAGCTGCCCTTAAAATAAAAGCAGAAGGAAAACAACTTGGAATGATCGATTTGATTATGTTTCCTTGGGAAGCTGAGTAGAGAGCTTAGGGCTGAGGGAGGATGGAGCTATTTCAGTTGTGGTCCCTAGGAGAACAGGCCCTCCTGCAAAGGCGGGAATTGGCACTGTTGGCATCTGGCACTTAGGAAGCCTGTCAGTCAGGCTGGCTTGCGGTCAATTATCTCCTTAAGTAGACTGGCACTGGTCCAGCCAGGGAGGAGGGCTGGTTGCATCGATAGGAATCAGAGCCAGTTAGCTGGAAGTGGCTCCGCTGAACTCCCAGCATCTTTGCACCGGGGGTTTTGGAAAGCTAATCAACGCATCTTATCCTGGGACTCAAAGGTGACATTTGCTGGCTTGTCGATAGTGTAGAGAGACTCCAGAAGAGGAGAGAAACAGAATGCCTTAGGAGAAGAAACACTGATCACCAAAGCTACTGGTTCCCCTTAAATTCCATTCACCTGTCAAAACTGCCACTTCTGAGATGCACAAAATTTACAGAGATCTTTGTAAATTGTGGTGAGATTCGACTCCTCCACTGGTAAGAATTCTCATTCTTCACCATACCTGATGATGAGATGGGCAGAAAGAATAGGCTGAGGTCATGTTTAGGCTTGGAGAGTGTGGCAAGGGTTTGATGGAATGTTAGTGTTAATCAAACTGTGCACACAAGATTCTGCATGGGTGTGGGCTGGGTGGAGTCGGCATTGAAAGTGGGAAACTAAAGAAATGGTTTCAAAAGCCAGTGATAACCACTTTGTGGGTGAAAAGGCAGAGTGGGTATCCATGAGGAGGTGGGAAGTCTTTGAATTCCAAAGGGCAAAACATGTTCATTTTGCTCATAGAAAGTATTTTCATTAACTTTATCTTTCAAAGCTGAAATGCTACCTTATACTCTTTGGGAGGGAGATTGAAGAGATTTGCTTGGGATCTGAATTCAGTCTTAAGCCATTGTTTAAATGGTATGAGTTTGGCAAAACTCCAGATGTACTCTGTCCCAAGCACTTTTCTCCTTAACTATCCTCTGTGTATTTTAAGGAAAATTCAAGCCACATGTTGCTCTTTCCCACTTGCATCCAAGTGTACTTTTATTGAATTTTAGCATGGTCCATGAAATTTAAATTCTGAGTTTTAAGCCATAATATATTCATATGATCTACAAGCAGTCACATGATATGCACATATATCATTAAGCAGAAAATAAAGCATCTGAGAACTATAGTCATATTATTATAGTAACATTTCTTTAGACTGAAGAGCCATGCTGAGAATGCCGTATTTAAAAAGATTTTGTGAAATTATCAAAAAATTTTCAAAAAAGTTAACTTATTGCCTTATGAAAATATTTTTTGAAGACTATTTCTAGGAAGACATTTTGGTTATGTTGAGTTTGATCCAGATAGTGATTTCTGCCACAAGAAACAGGTCTTTTGTGTGCACGAGACACCCAGGCTTTGCTTGTACGTCACAGATCTCATTAAGGCAGCATCATTCAAAAAATGCATTCGAATATGCTTTCCCATCTGAGCCACTTCCAGCCCTGTCAGCACCTTCACAGACAGCGGGGTTTTACTGTTACTGAGGGTGGAAGCTTAGTAAGGAGCTGGAGAGCTGTAGCTCAGGCACAGCTGAGCTAGATTCATTCCAGGAAGGACTCACAGCATTGAAACAGCACAGATGAGAAAAGGCAGAAAGGAGGAAGGGACAGAGGGAAGGAGGAAGGAAGGAGAGGGGGAGAGAAAGAAAGAGTGAAGGAAGGATGGGGAGGAAGGGAGGAGGAAGGGAAGAGAGAGAGAGACAGATGTGAGCATCTACTATTGACAAGGCAAAAGAAAATTATAATTTTTAATATAGTACTGCTTTGGTTTTCTCTTAGGAGACTATAGATCAATTCTTTCAATATATGTGACTATATCTATTACACTAATTGAAGTAGTTTGCCTTAAAAACAATTTTCCTCTTCTCTTAACATTTTTCTTAGCTAGAGAGGACAGGACACTGTATAACTAACTGGCAGCTTCATTTATTTCCTAAGAATATGAGGCTCTAGTCAGCTGAGGAACTCATCCTAGGTGAGGATTTTGTGACATTAACATTGATGCAATGTATTCTGTAGGGATTAACCTAAAAATGCCCATGGGGAAATGTTTAAATAAGTGATGCTATTTGCATACAGTGGAATATCATGCAGCCATTACAAATCATGCTTATGAAATTTTACTCTTATAGGAAATGCTTGTGAAGTCCTATCGAGAGAATAATCTCAACCCTCTAAAGTCACTGAAAATGTACTGGAAGAGACTCCACCAAATATTAATAGTGGCACCTTTAGACTGGTGAAGTCCCTAAGTCATTTTATTTTCTTGTTTTCCATATGTTCGAGCCTGCTTTAGATTGTCTCCATACACTGATCACATTTTACTTTATAACCAGGGAGAGGACTACTTGAATCTGTCCAGCTGGTATAACTGGCATTTCAACAAAATATGAATTGCTATTTTTAAATGTAGTATCTTAAGTGGCGGGAGGAGGAGAGAAGAACTGGCTGATTGAAATATACTTCAACAGCAAAGGCAGCAAAGACAAATG